AATGAACAGCTTAATGACGGATTTAGTTTATTTGCACGTGTTGTTGCGAGGGTGCGTCTATGCACGCTAAACACAGCCACATTCAAGTGATTACGTCACGAATTTTCTATGGTTTTTTAAATTTTTTCTAATGCCATTTTTTTACATTAAAAGTAAAAACTAACGGGACTAAACGTATCGTCAAATTCTTACCTGATAAGATTGTTTCTCAACTAGTTAAAAATCCAAAAAACCTAGACGATTTGATATTAGTGTTCCTAACATTAATTGCTTGCTATGGGATGAGTCACGAGTGTATGTTCACATCGAACAATAATACTAATGAAATAAAAAGTATAATGCAGCAATTTACCATAAAAAGTGAACAGAATTACTTATATTTTGTGAAAAAGTGGAATTTTTTGTTCATTTATTATTTACGGTGACGTAATCACTTTAACGCCAATTGAAATTATGTACATTTTTCGTTGCCGTTAGCTGGCGGTAGTGTCGCGCATGAGAAATAGCTGTATCATTCATGGTATACGAAATAATTTTAAGTAATATCGTTGAAATTATACGCATACATGTAGTCAAAATGTCACATACTCAGGATTAGTTAAATATGAAATGTGTCGATCCCATTGCATCACTTCATTAATTATAATGTGGACAATTACTCAAACCTCATTAGAACGTGCGAGAGATCATAGGATCTGTTACTTGTTGTACTCGTGCTCAGTGACACCGTGACGTCACACTTCGGTACTCTATGGACAACAAGCACATGCATAATTTCTGATCACTGAACCAGAGTGAACACAAGGCGCTCAGACACAATGCGCGAAATGATGAACCGACTAGTTTGTCGTAGTTTGTCCACTCGACTCGCGCGATAGAATCGGGCGATAAAGTCGCCCGATTAAATCACAGGCACTTGAAGCATATCAACTGTAAGCGCACGGCGCCGCCATTGCGCGTACACTAATACATATATATTGACTTGACACATACTCTTATATATATGTATTAGTGTACGCGCAATGGCGGCGCCGTGCGCTTACAGTTGATATGCTTCAAGTGCCTGTGGATTAAATCGCCTAGTGTGTCCGGCCCGTAACCCAGTATAAAATACGCAGTTTATACGCGTATAAAATACGCGGATATAATCCGCGTATTAAAGTCGCCCGATTAAATCGCCTAGTGTGTCCGGCCCTTTAGCCTCCATTGTGCTGCACTGTGGAATTCGAATTTTAGTCCAGGCTAGGCAGACTAGCTTTCTAAAGGCTAGCCTGTCTCATAATGTAGCCTGCAGTCGCATCAACGTGTTCACGGTTCTTTCAGTTAACCGCTGCCGCCATGTTACGTGTTGTACTCGTGCTCAGATTAATCAGATTTAATATCAAATTTATAATCATCAGATCGCTTTATTACAAAAGCCCGCCATACCAGTTCTGTCGAAAGAATATATAGCACCGTAGGCGCAAGATAGACTCGCTCTCTCTAGAACCACTCATGCGAAATCACGTGCAATGACCTGTAGCACTTAACAGGATCAACCGCGTATGCGCGAAAATGTTTCCAAAAAGAGTGGACATAGTTTACGCTTCGGTGACGACGTTAGGCGGCTAACCGCATGCCCTCTAGGGAGCCATTGCGCCGCGTGGCCCTAAAGCGACCGGATTTATATCGTACCGCTGTTGTCGGCGGGTCGTCGACCGCCACTGCCGAAATGTCGATGTCTCGTCTGGCCGTGATTATTAAAAATCATACGCGGCGAAAGCAGGCGACGAAGCTGAGCTGTGCGATCGCGCTGCTCGTCGTGTTAACTTACTACGGAAGTTCGTCGCTGCACGCCGATGCCGACAACGGCAAATACGACTGCGCCGACGGTTCGAATTCTGTCGACTGCGAGCGGAACCGTGCGTCGTCGGCGCGTTCGTCTGGCAGTCGTCCGCCGACGGAAAAGATAAAAGTGGCAGCGTCAGTAGCAGAGGACGTGAACTTTGTCAGCGGAGGTGGGCGCTATCAATGAATAAATAAATAAATGAATATTTATTTGTTTATATATTTATTTATTTATCAATAATACCGCGAGATCATTTCGCTATGTTACGGCGCACTCGCTTCGTAGATATAACAGACTAAGGTATACTGCAGGGTATACTGTAACTGTAATACTGTATGTGTGTGTGTGTGTGTGTGTGTGTGTGTGTGTGTGTGTGTGTGTTGTTGTTGCGCGCGGCGCTGCGCGCGGCGTGTGTGCATGTGTGTGCGCGCGTGTGCTTGCGTATGCGTGCGCGTGTGAGTGCACCTGTTGCGCGTTTGTGTGTGTGTGCATATGTGTGCATGCGTGCACATAATATACTGTATTCACACGCATGCTTACGTCACTTGTAGCAACAGTAATGTTCGGCCATGATGACGATTTGACACCAGTCAAAACATCAGATTCGCGAGATAAATGCCTAGTTGAGTTGATCTGACAGACAGAAGATTCGATTTAGCACGAATATGCGTAGTTTCAGTCTACTTCACTAATTTTCACTGTTCTGATTTTGAAGTTGCTTCGAAATCGAATGTGTGCGCACACGCGGTGACGGTTTGACAGCCTATATGACGAAGTGTCCGATAGGGGGGGAAAAAAAAACCGGGAGGGGCCCGGGGGGGGGGGAATAAGTGGGGGAAAACGAAGCGTTTACTTCGAATACGCGTGAGCTACACGTCGCGGGAATCGGTCTATCGGAACCTTCGCGTCTATCGGGACTTCCGGTCTATCGCGCACCTTCGGTCTATCGGACCTTTCAGCTCTTATTCGGACCTTCGCCCGTCTTATAGGGATGACCCCGCGGTGACAGTGACGCATTGACCGATTGCTTGAGGCTGTAGTTTGCAGCGACGATTTCATTAAATTAATGACCTGGGCTCTGGACCCAAGCAGATTTTCCATTCTTGCCTAAAAATAACGCTTGCCCTGTGGCGTGCATTTGCATTCCATTATACCACCGTAGGGCAGTTTACACGGAGTTCCGTACTCATCGTTTGTGCTTTATCAACGTACTAGCAGGGACACCCGGCGTTTTTTTTTTCACCCAAAACCACCGTCCGAGACATGCTGATTCTGAATATATCTTCAGTTTTCCTCTTAGGCTGCGTAGTTCTCTAGTTATAAGAGTACAGACAAACTCAACAACTTTATATATATATAGAAAACATCTTGTATGTTTTTGACACGAGAGCTTTTGTAAGCAGCTTAGCTCAAAATAATAGATGGATGGATGGATGGATGGATGGATGGATGGATGGATGGATGGATGGATGGATGGATGGATGGATGAATGGATGGGGGGAGGGCGGGAGAGGGCCACAGCGAATGGAGTGAATCTACATTGTCAGTAAATAAGCTTGAGCGTTTCCTGGTGATACTAACCAAATCTTTGCATTACCCGACGCAGCCAAGCTGTTAGGATGGATACCGAGAGCCGTTCTCAAGCCTCATAAACCCACCTGGACGGGAGGCAGAGTGCAATGCGTGACTAGTTGCCAACTCACGTACGTATCAACTGAGTGGTAGAATTTGATTTCCGTACAGAGTGGACGGATGCAAGAACTTTGATATGAAGGAATACATGGGGAAATACGAAGCGCGGATGAGTTTCAGAGGCACTCTTATGTAGAGATTTCAGCATAGCGAACAGACATACAGAGCAATACGATCACAACTCGATGGATTTGACTATATGTTCTATCTTACATACATATCTATATTATATATTCTATCATTATCTATAGACCATACAGTCCGCTTTAGCGATAGCACCAATGCCGATAGCAACGTGCAATCTACATACTGTAAGGTTAAAACTCGGCGCCTTCGGCTAAACACTTCTCGGGCGCTAAGTGGCGGACTCAGGGGGGGGGGGATTGGGTGGCCACTAGCCACCCCCTCTGTTGAACTAAGAATATTTTTTTTTACATATATATATACCAATTAATTATTGCCAAGTATAATAGTCGCGCGGCTGTACAAAACGGCATGTAATTGAGAGGCAACGCAGGTTACAACCCTTTTGCAGCTTTTTTCACAATTCCAAGAAAGAGTTTTGCTGTCGCCCTCATCCCAGCGGTGGTTACCCCTACATATTCAATAATAAACGCGACCTAAACAATGCTCCCCCCCCTGTACATTAATCAATGCCGCGCTGCAAGCGCAAGAATTGTTCTACTAAAAAGATCATTGGTGTAGTCAGAATGAAGGCTGTACATGTACTCAAAAGTGCCTCAAATACCACCTCCTGCGTATTATTATATATAATAAATATAAAATAATATAATAATAATAATAATAATATAATAATTTTAATAAATATAAACCCGTACGATAGTTTTACTTCAACGCGGACATCGCTTAATGACATCTGGGTCTACGACGCCCAAGGTAAATATGCCAAGATCAGTGTGCCGATGACCAATGCTAACCACCGCGCGCTAATCCATTGCAGTATAAGGAATCGGGAAGCGTACTTCGCTGCGTTCAGCAACACGGATGGAAACTGCTTCTGTGTTCGGCAGCCGCTACCCGAAAATGTCGCGATCCGCACAGTCGGCGATGCTAGCGACGTCCTGATCTACGGCCTCCATCGCAGAATCATGAAAGTGGACGGTGCGTAAAGTACATACGATCAGGAGTGAATAATAGAGATTATTCACTCTATTATTCACGCTATATTATTCATTCTCTATTATTCACTCCTGATACGATCATATAGAGGGTACCCTCTTTTTCTACCCGGCAGCATGTCGGCGCATACCGAGACGGGTGGCGGTACATTTATTACGGGGTGGCTTTGATATGATCAGGAGTGTATAATATAATCTATATAATCTATATTATATCTATATTATACACTCCTGATATGGTGCGATATGCGTTCTGCGTTAACCTTGGAAAAGTGCGCATTGCGACAATAGCGATACAGTAAACACCCGCATAAAAGAACCCGTGATTTTCTGTTTCAGGCTGAAGTGGTTCTTATATATATGATACATAGTGAGAAATCAGCCTGAAGAGGTTCTTAAAGAGGTTTTTTTTTGGAGGGGGATATTGTGTACATTATCTAGGTAAATTTGGCTTTAATTAGTGAATAATTGACACTAATTAATTAACCAACTGCATAATATTAGAAATTATGTCTGTTTAAATTCATTTGAGAAGAACCTGCTTAATTTATCAGGCTGAAGTGGTTCTTATATACTAGGTGCTTTATTGGTCCAATTTCAGCCTGGAGGTTCTTAATCCGCAGTTTCTTTTATGCGGGTGTTTACTGTAGCAGTTGGAATCATTCAATTGCGGGAGACCGAACACCTATAACGCGTGACAGAACTGATCCAGCAAATCGCGCTATGCTTAGCTGCAGTTGTAAAACCCCATATGTGAAACGTTAGCTTCCTCATTGTAAAAGGCCGTTTGTCCGCATCCCCTGGGAATGTGGTCAAGCTGCAGCAACACATAGAATGCTTGAGCACTTTTGGGCTAAAATTACCACGTAGTAGTAAAAGCTGTGTGCGCGCGCGCGCGCGTGTGCGCGCGAGCGTGCGATTGTGTCGATGAGAACACATTTTACACATAGGCCACTTGTTCGTCGCGGGGTATTGGTGTAGCATGCTACTGCAATGCCAGACAGTGGCAGGCACTAGAATAGTCATAAATTTCATGTCGCTATGGCGTTTTCCCATTTACATTCTTCAATCATAAACGCCTGTGCTCTGAGATAGACGAAGTTCGGTTCCTTCTTTGTGCGTGTTTCAACGTGGTTCCAATGTTTACGTGGATCAAATGCTGAATATACGACTAGTCTACTCTTATCCACCGTTGTAGCTACGCCGGTCGGCGCCGGTCGGTAATAGCCGGCTCTGGTGTTGGCCGACCGGCACGCAGCTTTAAATAACAACCTTCCGATCGGCACAAAAATGATTGAGTTTGTGTAAAATTACCTTCAAAATAGTGAGCTACAAATAATCACAACTGATACACTTAGAATTAATTTTTTAAAAAACCTGAGTTTAATCTCAACAATAATTATGCGTAAAATCATCATCTGATCACATCGTACAGTGAATAGTACATGCAGTATAGCTGGCTAAGCACCATACACAATAGCGAAGTTAGAATCGTTCGCGTGGAAATTCCCGAGCTACGGGTAAAGTGAATTTACAAGGTATCAAAGGCATCAAGGCATCAAAGCCATCGCCGTTAATAAGAGTATTCGAAGAAACTCGATGATAAAAACCACGTGATGGTATCCGTGATTTATTACCTGGCTTCATATGTGCGTGCGCGTGCGTGCGTTCGTGAGCGCGCTTGCGCGCGTGATTTTGCTTGTGGCCTTGTCAATTAAGAGCCGCTTAATTCCATCTAGTGAGTGTATAGATGGTTTTGCCGACAGATGACAGATGCGGGCTTGTGTCCCTCGAAGCCAGTGCGACTCGAACACCGATAGCTCTGGCCTCCCTCCAGGGCTCAGGTCAGCGCTGGTTACGTCATCTACTGGAGCTGACCACGGGCGTAATGACGGGAAGTGTGTCCACACCAAAAGTCTTGAAGGAAAATGGTAGCGCTTCGAATCACAGGCGATTAATTGCGCTGTGCGAGTGTGTCTTTGTTTGTTTGTGTGCGGCCGCGCGCGTGTTCGTGCGCACGTGCGTGCGTGCATGCGTATATGTGAGTAAGTGTGCATGCATGCTTGTAGGCGTGGGTTCGAGCGTGAGATACCGTCGTGCATGTATGCGTGTGTGCGTGTCTACGTGTGTGCGTGCGTGCGTGGCTGCGTGCGTGGCTGCGTGTGTGGCTGCGTGTGTGTGTGTTAAGGCCTATTTACACGATTCGTCCTAGACGTACGTCTAGGACGTACGTCCAAAACGCACCGTGTATGACAATGCAAACGCAATGTCGGAAGAAATTAGAACATCCGTCCTATACATCCGATATCGCAAGGGTCATAAAATCGTGTCGTACTGCATATAGTTTACAAGGTGCGTTTTGGACGTACGTCTAGGACGCATCGTGTAAATAGGCCTTTAGTTTAGGCAAAACATTTAGTTCAATATTTCACAAGAATCATTACTCATCGTTTCCGGAGTTTTTTTGTTACACGCTTTATATATGTTGATAAAGATGATGATGATGATGCTAATAATAATAATAATAATAATAATAATAATAATAATAATATCTTGATGCTAACATAGTATTTTTTTCTCGTTAATAACTCTGATATCTCTTACCCACTAACTGTTTATCTTCTATCTGCCATCTGTATGATTCTCATATTCTGCCACGTAGAATTTTTGGGAGACATGGAGCCATTTAACGACGGCACCACGCTGGTGCAAACGACACACAACTACGGTCGCGCCGACATTGCAAAGTTCAACGGCACGGCAATCCTGCTCTTACGCAACCCGTACGAGGCTATCCTCGCCGAGTTCTGCCGTAAGGCGATAGCCGGCAGGAAGATTACCGTGCAGGAGCCGTTATTTGAAAAAATGAGTAAGTTTTATTTCGTCAGTGATTATATTAATTATACGCCACAACACAAGCTGGTGGTTGGATTCTTATGACAAGATGTAGACGTGCGGTTACGGTTTCGTTCGCGCGTCATGGTTAGATGTACGGCACTGCACCTCGTAGCACGCAATTCCTTGCGACAAACGTAGCGACTCGTACGCAGCTCATACAGCGAACATCACGAGGCGCATGCTAATTGAAGATATGCAGAAGTTTCGAGAAATGTAGCTAGAATATAAAACCTCCTCGGCTAAACTTGCGAAAATATGCGTAGGATTTAATGCTGCCCCTGGTAATTAAATTTCGAGTAAATATCGCGAGGAAATCTTTATAAATGTATAGGTGTAGGTACACCACCTAATTACGCCGCATAATTATTTACGCTAATAGGGTCTATGTCTCCATGGGTACTGCCGGACCGTACCCTGGTAACTGTCTGGTATACCGGACAGTACCCCGCCTACTCCACAGGGAGTGTTGTTCCCCTCCTACAGGGTACGGTTGGGAGTAGGCGGGGTACGGTCCGGCAGTACCTAGGGAGACATAGACCCTATCAGCCATATTTACGGAGAGATGGGTGATCACAATGATCCTTACTTAATGAGAGACGGTTCAAATACCTGTTCGATTTCGAAAAGTGAGTGAAATTTAACGGCAAAGTTCCTCGTGACTCACGAGAGTGAATATATAATACCTCCTTCTTCCATACGGTAGCGAAGCCTCTCTCTCTCCCTCCCTCTCTCTCTCTCTCTCTCTCTCTCTCTCTCTCTCTCTCGCTCTCTCTCTTTCTCTCTCTCTCTCTCTCTCTCAGTCGGTCTGTCTTCCCTTCGCTCTCTCTCTCTCTCTCTCTCTCTCTCTCTGTCAGTCTGTCTCCCCCCCTCTCTCTCTCTCTCTTTCGCGTGCGCTCTTTCTCTCTCTCTCTCTCTCTCTGTCGGTCTGTCAGCCCCCTCTCTCTCTCATCCTGTCCCTCTCTTTCTCTTTCTCGCGGGCTTTCTCTCATTCTCTTTTTCTCTCCCTCTCGCGCTCTCTCGTTTTCTTATTCTCTTCACCCCTCTCTTTCTCTCTCTTTCGCTCTCTCTCTCTCTCTCTCTCTATCTCTCTCGTTTACTTTGTCTCTCCCCCTTCTCTCTCGCTCTCTCTCCTCTTCTCTCTTTCCCCGTCTCTCTTTCTCTTTCTCGCGTTCTCTCTCTCTCGCGCTCTCGTTTTCTTTTCTTATCTTCCTATTTTCTCGCCATATATCTCTCTGTATGCCTTTCTGTCTTTCACACATTGGCTCTCTCGATTTCCTTTTCTCTCCCTCCCTTGCCTTTCGCTCGCGCAATTGTTTTCTCTTTTTCGCGCTTCTCACTCGCTCTCGTTGTCTCTCGCACACTCACTCTCTGTGCCTGTCGTTTTCTTTTACTATTCCCTCCTTTCTTTATCAGAAGTGAATAATAGGGGTAAATTCTAACCCTTGTTATTTTCTGGCATTTATCGGTAGGTAGTACAGCGTACGATTAGTGAATCATAGAAATAATATCAAGAGCGTATTAAAATTGTCTTAATACGCTCTTGATAATATGTTGGTAGACAGTCTACCTTACAGTATATATTGCAGTCTACCTTACGGTATATATTGCAGTATACCTTACAGTATACCACATACAGTCTTACAGTTACAGTATACCTTGCAGTATACCTTAGTCTGTTATATCTACGAAGCGAGTGCGCCGTAGAGTGCGCCGCCGGCATAGCCGGGCGATGATCGGAACTCTATGTTCTGGCGTACGGCCATGTAAACCGCCTACCTACTAGTACCGCCTTGCTACGCTGTATTGGAGAACCTGTTAGTTTTAATCTGGTGCGACTGGTGCTCTCTCTCTCTCTTCTCATCTATCATCTCTCACACACACCACGGCGGATCGCACGCACAGGTAGGCACGACTGCACGCCTAGGTTTTCACCACGGCGGGCGGCGCACGCGAAAAAACGGCACGCCACGGCACGCACACAAGGACACACACGACTGAACAACACCACACACACACCGAAACACGAGCACACCGAACGCACACACACAAACCTACCACACCAATCCCAACCCACCAACCGCAACACGCAGCGCCACACACCACACACACCACCACACCACACGGACGGCCGCACAACGCACACGCACACGCAACAACGCACGACCACACGCACACGCACACCCCCGGAGGCCCCAAAAAAAAAAGCACCACAACGCACACGCACACACACACTCATTTTCCTCTTTCCACCCCATTCTCGATTCCTCGTTTGTTTCTCTCGCCTGTTCTCTCTCTCTCGTTTTATTTCGCTCCCACCCTTTCCCTCTCTCGCTCTCTCTTGTTTTCCTTCCACCATCTTGATTTCTCTTCCCTCCCCTCTCTCTCTATCGCGCATGCTCTCGTTTTCTTTTTTTACCCCCCCCCTCGCTTGCTCTCAGTCTCTTCCCCCTCTCTCTTCCTCAGTGTGGAAACGTTACGCGCTCGACACAGCACTCGATTGGATGTTTCTTGCCCGCGGCTGGATCGACCGCGGACAGCGCCTCCTGGTGATCTTCTACGACAATCTGGTGAAGGACACCAGCACGGAGCTTCTACGCATCGCCAACTTCGTCGGCGCCGGCGTGTCCGATCAGCGTCTGCGCTGCGCGCTCGCGCACCGACACAGCCCGTACGAGCGCCACCTGCCGGAGCTGCGTATCACCCCCTACGACTACACGAGTTTCAGCAACACGTCGGAACCCTACTACCGACGCATGGACGGCTACATTGACACGGTCGCCGCCCGCCTGCCGGAGTACGCGCACATATTCGAGTCGTACAAACGCTCGAAGACGGGCTCAATTCGACCGGAACCTTGGTGACGGAGTCTTTTGGTCCCGGAGCGTGACCCATAGCGCTCGCTTCACGCAGAGAGAGAGAGAGAGAGAGAGAGACAGTGGGCTAATAGACAGACCTCTCTATACGCGCGCATTATTTCTAAGACTCGCTTACCGTACGATCTGCCCATAGCTATACCTGCCGATAATGCGGAAAGGAATCCGATAAATGCCATAAAGGATGTTAGAATTTACCACCATTATTTAGGCCTTCTCCTGATATGGTGTACCGTACCTACATGGTGTAGGGGTGGGGGGAGGGGGGAGGGAGTTTACCACCATTATTTACTCCTGATAAACAGTGTTGTAGTCAAGTCCACAGCCTCCGTGGCCAAGACCGAGTCCGATCGAGTCCATAGCCTCCAAGGCCAAGGCCGAGTCCGAGTCCACACCACCCGAGTCCGAGTCCAGCTTTGATAACAAAAATTAGGGGACGCAGACTGACAAGGCAGCCCCCTTCTATGTATACGGTTGGTCAAAAAAATGGGTGGGGGTGCCTCCTGCCCCCCTGGATCTGTCACTTATTTGCATGGAATAGAAAGTAAAAGCACAGGGCAGGTTTTTTCTTGCAGCATAAATTTCATTTCTTTGTTTTATTTGTTCAACAAGTTTGAACAGTTACACACTGTCAAAGACATACAAGCGTGTCGATAGAAAAAATGGCTTGGCTTTACCTGAACATATCATTTAGTGATTAATATCACATATCACATGAAGTCTGAAGAGTTACATAAGCCCAATCATTGTGCATTGTGCATTGTGCACGTATATTATGTAACAATTGCGCCGTACGTTGACATCCCGCCCTTGCAATCTCGCCCTTATCGACTCGCTCGCAGGTGTCAAGTGGTGTCAGTGTAAAATTGTAAATACTAATTATATTGATCGTAACCCTAACCCTGTTCATAAAACCATCATTTTTACCCCAAACCCTACACCAAAACCGAAAGTCTAAATTTATTTTGAAACCACTAACGAAATTTCAAGGAGGCGCGATTTTCAGGGAACAAGAAAATAAGTAGACGAGATGACAGGGGGTACAGGTGTAGGAGGGTGGAGTAAATCTAGGCAAAATGTGGAAATATAATCCGTATTAAATAGTGTGCTCCAATAAATAGAGTATTTTCGACGAGTCATATGATGAGTCGTATGAGCTGCATTGAAATAATTAATAGTCAGCAAAAAGGTGGTGTACGTCTTTGAAAATTGACAATAGTATACCGTATTTCCCCGACTGAAAATGCCGAGTGCCATTAACCTACCGTATTTACTCGTGTATAAATGCATTAGTGTATAAGTCGCACCCCATATGTTGCCGTGAAAAGTTGGTACAAACATTGGTACATTAACAAGATTTCTTAGTCTCGTGTATAAGTCGCACCCGCTTTTTTTATTGAAGTTGTGTACAAAAAAGTGCGTGTTATCCATGAGTAAATACGGTACGTTAACAATCTATATTAACCTTCCGTTTAGATAAATAATTCTAAGGAAGCAGAATGCGCGTTGTAATCATTGGCCGCAAAGCAAGTATATTTTATAAAAAAGGAAATTTTTTATTAGAAAACTATTTTTTCTTAAAGAAGTGGGTATATTTTAGGGATTAAAACCTCTTTGCATTTTATAAATGACCGGGCAGAATGTATTTAGAATGTACGCGAATGGAGGACGTCTATACACGCGCAGAACACCGACGGGTAGGTATCTAACTTTTCCTGGGAGTTCTTCCATGGTCTACTGCCCGCGACGCTGTACATTTCCGCGTAGTAGGTGGGTGGGGGGGTCAGTGACCCATTGTGAGCCTCACGTACATACGCACGCACGCGCGCGCGCGCGCACACACACACACACAAACACAAACACACGCACGCACGCACGCACGCACACACACACACACACTGTCCACTTAGACACACACACAGGATGACTGCGAGTGTAGAGGTGGCGTGCTGACGCCGATTATACGAGCAGTGGAGGAAGTACAGCCCTAGAAAAAAAACCTGCTTCGTGAAACCGGCCCCTGTTTGTATCGGCTATTGGCTTACTGTGTGAAAATATTATTCCAGTTTTTTGAAAGAACTTGAAATAACGCTGAGAGGGTCTATGTCCCCCAGGGTACTGCCGGACCGTATTGATATATATCAACTTGATTTATATGCTCTGCTGGTACTATCTAATATGCCGAACCGTACCTCACCTACTCCACTAACGAGTCTAGGGAGTCACCTACGCCTACTCCCTAACCATATCAGATAGTTACCAGGGTACGTTTCAGCAGTACCCTGGGGGACATAGACCATATTAGCTGAAATAACATGAATGCAAGAATTATTCAAGTTTTATCAATTTTTAACTTGAATTATCATGAATAAACATGGACTTAATATCCTACTTGAAGTTTAGCTCTAGTAACTAGAGCTACTTGAAGTTCAAGTTAATCCAAGTTAATTCCAGTCTCAGAAAATGCAAGTATCTTGAAATAACTGATATTTTAAAGGTTGTCATCCACTAAGTCAAAATTTCTTGAAATAACTGGTATTTTATTCCAGCAGCCCGCAGTAGGAATTGAGTAAAGTCCAAATTTCTTAAAATAACTGGTCGATTCGTGCGACATCAATCAACAAATGTTGCAGAGACATTTGATTTGAGAGAAATGTCACCTCGACATCGACAAGAAATCAAACCACTAATTGACCACTTTTTGCTTTTAGTTCAAATTAACTCTTAAATAGAGTTAAGTTAAGTTAACTCTAAATTAATTCTTATTATGTTGACTTCTTATGTTAATCATGTTAAGTATGTTCATTATGTTATCTTCAATAAATACATAATATATAAATAGCTATGCGTATGTCATATGTGTTCATCGTATAGCAACCGCGCAAAGCATTATGGGTAAAAGGGCTCGGCTGCAAAAATTATATTGTATCATTACAAATCCAGCTAATCCATCAAATATACACAGTATCAGTGTTTAAAAAACATACAAGAAGGCAAGTCAATATGTCTACTATTGTTGTTATATAGTATTTGTCGTGAAACCTGAGTAAACACAACAATATCGCATATTTTCCTATTACCTACCTATATGCTTAGACAGTCACTCCGTCTTCCTGATGAAGAGCAGCATCTTGTCCTTGACGACGGTCACTCCGTCTTCCTGATGAAGAGCAGCATCTTGTCCTTGACGACGTCCTTGACGACGGTCACTCCGTCTTCCTGATGAAGAGCAGCATCTTGTCCTGACCGTTGTCCTTGACGATGGTCACTCCGTCTTCCTGATGAAGAGCAGCATCTTGTCCTGACCCTTGTCCTTGACGACGGTCTTCTCCGGGTTGAGGCGCTTGAGAATCTGCGCGACGCGAGTCACCATCTGCTCGCTCGTCATGTTGCGGCAGCCCTTCTTGAACTTCTGCAGCAGATCCTTGGTTGTCATTGGCTTGCGCATCAGGTAGCGCTTCACCGCCTCCTCGGTGATGCCCTCGCTGCAACGTGCAACAGCCAACATGGGAGTTATGGTTACATCTACAGATCGGCTTCGGTTATTCGGTTATCTCATTTATCTGCTGCCAATGGCAGGTAACATGATGCAGATGCCATCTATTGGTTGCATTTATCAGCTTCACCTATCAGCTTCATCTATTAGCTTCATCTATCAGCTTCACCTATCAGCTTCATCTATTAGCTTCATCTATCAGCTTTATGTATCAGCTTCCTCTATCAGCTTTATTTATCAGCTTTATCTATTAGCTTCATATATTAGCTTCATTTATCAGCTTCATCTATCAGCTTCATTTATCAGCTTTATGTATCAGCATCATCTATTAGCTTCATCTATCAGCTTTATCTATCAGCATCATCTATTAGCTTCATCTATCAGCTTTATCTATCAGCTTCATCAATCAGCTTTGTGTATCAGCTTCATCTATTAGCTTTATCTATCAGCTTCATTTATCAGCTTTGTGTATCAGCTTCATCTATCAGCTTCATCTATCAGCTTTATCTATCAGCTTTATCTATCAGCTTCCTCTATCAGCTTTATCTAACTGCTTCATCTATCAGCTTTATGTATCAGCTTCATCTATTAGCTTCATCTATCAGCTTTATCCAACTGCTTCATTTATCAGCTTCATGTAACAGCTTATGTATCAGCTTCATCTATCAGCTTTATCTATTAGCTTTATGTACAATGGTTTTCTACAATGTTTGTATACGATGTTCCTCTATCACAGGCCTGTTGTCAGAAATATCATGAATAATTACTGCCTCACTCAGCAGTCTGCAGTCTGCAGTCTGCTAATCAGTCTAGGATGACAAAACGTTTGCAAGACACTTCGTTACGACATCCCAGATATACGGTGTCATAACTACTTATGATACTTCTCACAATGTGCTACCGCTTTAACTATAAATCTTGACCTAGCAACGATCCTAAGCCTCTTCGATAAACTGTGTAAATTAGTAATTCATAACGTACATATATACGTGAATAAAACGTTGTCTGCATACAGAAAAAGCCAGTTATTACCCATACTATGAACCTTTCTATACATGGATTCATGCCCATACCTAGTGGATGGCGTTGCTAGAGCAGGACTCTCTGTTCTTGGCTTCTTAGCAGGACTGTCTGTCTGATCTACAGCAGTAACCGCTCGCTTCTTGCCTACAGTAAAACAACTATATTGCAATCACGTACAAACATCACCTATTTAATATCTCGCTTCCATACCGGCACACTCACAAACTCAGCAATTAAATTTACACGGTTCACAACTTGGCTTCAAAATTATAGAAATGTTCACAATTTTCAATTCCTACTAGTTTACACAGGGCTGTAACGCCCCCGAGAACGAGCCACACCAAATAAGGTCCTCTGGAGTGAATGCCGATGCAAGCGACAACCCGAATGCAATGACGGTGGTACCGACAAATTCTATCATACCCTTGGTTTCCTGCAGCTTACTGGCCGCGTCGTTGAGGGTTTTAGAAGGGTCGACTTGAGGTGTTGTGGGCCGGCTGCCACTAATACTATTACTGGGCGAGCTTTTCCTACTGCTGTTCTTGCTGCTCTTCTTCTTCTGAGCATGAAAACAGATATCGTGTTATGTGACATTACCATATAAAGAACGATGTAACGATTTTCCCCCCACTTATATCATTACAGTACTGCTATGTTTCACCCTACGTTAAGTGTATTGAAATTGTTCACCGAAAAAATTATAGTGATTTATGTAAGACACATAATTTTAAAGGAAGCTGCATAAGGTATAACAATTTAAGGTAATAATAGGTAATCCCAATTTACAATGCATAAACGTTTGGCTTCTAATACGTATGCATTGTTTGTTTAATGCTGTCGATACATCCCAGTGATGTTTAACCATGTTTGCTATATGTCAGCTTGCCTGTAAGAAGAGACTTGACGTGATGTTTGTGTCGTCAATGTCAGAGTCCGACGTATCAGAACCACTGGAGCTTGATTCTTCTGAAAACCAGACATAGCATAAAAATAGTTCTCTAACAGATCTTATTAAACCTAAAAAAAAATTGTGAATATAAAAATCTTCATTGTGGGATAAGCTTCCAAGAGTTACTTCGTACAACAAAAGGTCTTGCTTGCAGAATAAATCTACAACGGACGCTAACTACAAAGATCTTGCTATGTATAAAGACTGATACCTTCTCGCTGCACCTCCTTCTTCTTTTTGTCCGGTGTTCCGTTCTCCTTCTCGTTCTCTTCCTTTTTCTCATTTTCATCCTCGTTCTTCTGAGCCTCTTCCTCTTCCTCCATCTCTATCTCTGCCATTTCATCATCCACACCCTTCAATTGTTCTGAGTAATCCTTCACAGTTTTTACTGCTTCCCTGGAAAAGAAAAAGCAATCCACTAAAAAATTAACATGCATTCAACTGAAAATTGTGTCATAAAAATTGACCTGTTGCCTGATTACTTTGTAGATGTTGCGGATTTCATGGCGATAATTGGCATACAGTAAATCCTAAATAAGATCCAGTGTCAAATCACTACCAAGGGAAAACACTAAAAATATAAACTAACAGACAAACAAACAAACCGATAAAACGTAAAACAAATGAACTGAGGGTCTACTTTCGAATACGTCTCTCACCACTAGGCAGTAGTCACAGACCCAGATTCGCAGAACAGGAGAGTTGGGTGCTGCACATTTACTTAGTTGAATCTTTTATCTATTGCACCTACAGCTCTCACATTTTGTATGTCACATTCTGTACTTCACATCATCAAATGATTAAATGATCTAATACACTACCCTGCAGTTACACCCATCTTCAGTAATTCAATAAATCCTATAGCATTTACCCAACTCGTTATTTCGCTGGTACCCAACTGCAGCACTACCCAGTGGTGAGGAATCGTAACCATCTATTTCCGACTAACAGACTAAGTAAAGAAAAAGATCTCACTCTTCAGAAGATGAGCTCTCCGAGATGTAGTCAATTTCTGCATCGTCGTAGTCCCCCTCATCGCTCTCCTCCACAGCTTCCTCTTCTACATCTCTGTCCTTCTTCTTCTTCTGTGACTTGGTCAACTTGGGCTTGCCCTTCTTGTTACCTTTAGCTTTACTCTCTACATCCAAAAAGAAACCTGTTACTGTCCACGTCCTACGAATAAATTTCGTAAACATGCAAAAATGTAGCTAACCAAGTAGTAATTAAGAAGACAAGTGTTCGGATGTTCCTACGCACAACGGGCGCGCAACACACACTTGTCTACCATACCCATATGGATTCAAGAACTCTAGGGATGCTCTCACGTAGATGCTCTACATATACAGAAACATGACTCTACGTACTAGATATTTAGGAGAGTTTTGCACATTGCAAGAAGTTACAGGATGCCTAAAAGCTATATTGAGCTAATGGGACCTTCATTCTCGCCTTTCACACATGCACATGCTGAAAGCAAGCTGTGTCATCACACAGACAGCCAGTGTCTGGACTCACGCTCATGTCTAGTTACCTCATGATAAGATCAGGAGTCTATCAATATATGATATGATATCTAATATTATGATACATAATATTGAGAGACTGGCCTTAAACGCAATGCCGATTACCTTCCTCTCCACCCTCTGCGTCACTGTCTTCCTCGTCCTCATCCGAATCCTGCCATTCATCGTGATCTGTCAGCCTCTGCAAGCCACAAACACACACCATGGTTTAATCACTACGGCTCGTTGACACCTCCAACCACTACGAAAGTATCGTCGTCAGGACGAAATACGAAGATACACTCGCTCGTATTATGATCTTAAAAAGATCTCCTTGATATTTCTGCCACTGGAATTTTCGTCAAAAACAACCATTAGTGGTTATGATATATAAGTTTTAAAACGTCATAACTTTTGCATGACACTTCACTTGTTGTGAGATTTTACATTCATGATATCATAACTAATGACTTTCTGACAGTGGGCCCAACTAAGATTCTTGGCCGAGATTTTAGAAAACGGTTCTAAAATCTCAGGATTCGAGAATGTTTCTGAGGGTACTTGAATAGTCCCGAATAGTAGCAAAATTCTACTCGCATTGCAAGTGTCTGAAAAGATTCCTACGTACTGATCACCGATAAAATTATGCAGTGAACCACTGCACTCAAATATCACGTGAAGGAATGGAAAACTAACGCTCGAGGTATCGCATGATGAGCATGGTGAAATAGCACTACTTGGTTGAAATGGATTTAGAGAGATAAGATCAAGATAGTGAGAGGGAGGGAGGGAAAGAGAGAGAAAGATAGAGCGAGAGAGAGAGAGTGCACGCGTGAGAGAGAAAGAGAGAGAGAGAGAGAGAGAAAGAGAGAGAGAGAGACAGAGAGAGAGAGAGAGAGAGAGAGAGAGAGGGGGGGGGAGAGTGAGAGAGCGATAGATGAAAAGCCACATACGAAGCTGCCCCCAGATTTGGACGACGACGACGATTTCTGCTCCTTCGTCTTCGGTTCGGCGTCGACCTCCTCCACCTCCTCGCCCTCCGCCTTAAGTCGCTTCCTCACCATGATCGAGAAGTGGTTCAACACCTTGTTCCTCCTGTGCAGTGATGATGCAAACGCTCACATTAACACTCCCATTTTGTAAAAGATGACGACATCACAACCTGCGCAGGAGCCTGTCCCTGTGCTAGGCCCTGCAACAACTCTCCAACGCACTGTGCCAACCTGCCCGATTCTTTTTTATCACGTGACGCTTGATATAACTGGGATATCATCTCGAACCCTCGTTCTGTGTAAGATTAGTTCTGTCTATGCCAGGTGCCTTGCTTCAAATTAAAATTTGTTATTTAGAGAATAGAGAATTCGTTATCAATACGAGTTGCTTCCACAGTATTGTAACAAGCGCTGCTACACAGGCTAGAAGCATTATAGATGAGACTGAGAGGCCACAATTAAAAAAATATTTGTTTGCCCTCACCCGACCCAGGCTGAAAAGTTTGGGTAGGTAGGTAGGCTTTTTTTTAGGGGGGTCTTTATAAATTCAGCATGGTGTCTACATGCTCGGGTGTGCTTGTGTGGAGATACCTTTATGTTGAATGTTTGTTTTGCTTGGTACATATAATGTATTGCCTACAGATTTATATAATGTACAGTGATACAATATGCAAAAAAAAAAGAATGGGAAAGATCAATAAAATCAAGAGCGTATAAAGGAGGAGAGCGTACAATTGTGAAATGCTGAAACCATGTTGCAGTATTAGTCGAATTAATAAACTTTCCCCGTTTTATTTTGACGATTCTTTGCAGTATTATTGATCAGCTGTCCTACCTTGTTAATATAAAACAAACCGCATGTACCTACGATGCCCCTACGCTGAGATAATGAGCGGTGAAATTCTGGTATTTTTGCCAAAAACTGTCTCAGGATACCTGCTGACTGCGACTGGCTCTCGCTTTGAGATAACTTCGGGAAACCTTGCGTGTTTCCGTCAATGATTGACAAATGGAATGAATGACGTCTGTTATTGATTGCCATAGTGATGACCCCCACCTGTGCCCACCTCACGCTGGATGTATAGTAAACTCTGCAGTACTGACGTGAGTCAGCGCTACCATGGCGCTACACAGCGGCGACCGGAAGCAACACACTGGCCACAAAGCGAGAGACAGTCGCAGTCAGCAGGTATCTCGAGTCGGTTTTCGGCAAAAATACCAGATTTTCATCGCTCATTATCTCAGCGTAGGGGCATCGTGAGTACATGCGGTTTGTTTTATATTAACAAGGTAGGACAGCTGATAAAATAATACTGCAAAGAATCGTCAAAATAAAACGGGGAAAGTTTATTAATTCGACTAATACTGCAACATGGTTTCAGCATTTCACCGTTGTATGCTCTCCTTCTTTATACGCTCTTGATAAAAAAATTTAATCGGGCCCTTTTTGGTCGGGTGAGGGCAAACAAACAATATTTTTATTATGGCCTGAGAAGCTACTTTGATCTGATTTGGGCACCGTGCACTACTGCACTTGTAACATTGTGCGGATTGCGATCGTAGCATCAACAAAGAATGCACCGTGTGACAAGTGACTGATTACGTTAGGAAGGTCAACAGGTTTGCATCGCGTTTTGGCTTCGATTACCTTCCGAATTCCTCCTCTGCTTCCTCGTCGTTCAGTGTCTTGTACCGAGCGACCGGCGTGAAGTTATACCAGGCATCTATGCTGTAGGCCTCAAAGGCACCATCTTGTGCTTGTGTGAATACGAAATATTTGGAGTTTTCCGTCACACCGCCTTCTCTGATACCTTTGTACCTTTAGCGTCACAAATTTTACATAATTACAATTACGCTCGCCAAAAAAATTACAATTTTCTCATTTAATAAAAATACACTTCGAACAACATACCAGTCGTTTCGTTTGCGGCTCGTTATAAAATGAAACACACTACCTTATTCGAAACGAAAGCTAGTACTGGTAATATTCTACGTTCATTCCCCACCTATATAAGCTAGGCCGACAACTTTACACGCCATAACATATCACCACTATTACAACGTGCACTGACTTTCACGTGCACAACAAAATTCATAAAGATGTAAGACAACAGCATTGTTGGAGCATTGTGGCATGTACTCAGCTTGCCTTTTCCCATTTTTTCCTCCTTCTCGCAGCAACCACGGTTGCGCTTCAGGGTCGTATTTCTTTGTGACAATGCCGTACTTCTTTCTGCGTGCCTCCTCTCTCTGCTCCCGCCCAAACTCGCTACCGGCTCCATATTTGGGCATGTCTTCAGCAACCCGAAACTCTTTCAGGTTGTTCTCGCGCACCATTTGGACCTGCGTAATTCGTAAGTTACAAACACCTTAGTTATGACACAAAAAGGAAATTTGCTCTTGTGAAGTTTTCACAAGAATGAATGGAATTTTTGATCTAGAAACTCTCCTACCTGTGTTACATCACAGGGGTAGAAATTAGTTTGAAAATTTTTCAGGCCAGCCAGGCCTGTAGGTGAGGTAAGTAAAAGCTGAGGTGCTGTAAGGGATTCTACAAGCCAGCCAGGCAAATTACAGGCCCGCATCATTCCCGGATACCGCAGAATTTCTTTAAAATAAGACTGAAATTTGACATTTTTACAATGGTTTATTTATGTACAGTAATACAAAGAACATATACAGTGACTACTAATGAGCTGTCAGAACTCTCACTGTCCTCCCTGGTGTCCTCACTCTCTGGACTGTTTTTTAACTGTTGGCTGACCTGCACTACAGCAATAGAATGTACACAACATCTCTGAATGTTACGGATTGGATTTTCTACGGGCCCTTCGAGCTTGCTATTATTAGAAATGTCAGACCCGAGCCTTAAAATACGGGCATCGAGCCCCTTAGGATTTCGACCCATGCATCATTATATAACCAGTATATGTGTTTTACAATGTTTGCTTTCACCATATATATATATATACATCTTCGCTAATGTTTACTTGCATTCACAATTGTGTTTGTAATAGGGGAAATGGGGGAGGGCATTACCAAATTCTTTTGGCCAAAAAACCATTCGCAAGAACAGACCTTCAATTCTATAGTGGAAGTCAAATGGGTAACATGATCACGTTAAGATATTTCGAGTTACGAACATTTATTTACTGTATATTATACTGTGATTCTAACTTATGCAACAATAATTTCAGAATGATACAAACCTGGTTCCACTTAGCCATATCGACATTATAGGATCCATTGAACTTCATCACATCATATTTTTTGCTTGTTTCCCTAAAAATTATCGAATTATTATAACCTTTAATACAAAAAAGCATGTTCATACCTCATTCAAATTACAAAAACACACACACACACATGCACATCCACGCACGCACGCACACGCACACGCACACGCACACGCACACGCACACGCACACGCACACGCACACGCACACGCACACACGAGGTCACATATACTATAGGACAGTACAGCTAGTAATAAATTATGCCAGATTGGTTTAATTATGATGAAAATTGGTCTCTCCACTATTGTACTTTCACGCACATACAAGAAGTAACTAGCAATTATCGATTCAGGTAGTTGAAATCAATTTGGTTATGTATCTATACAACTTACTTTGGCACTTTCACTACAAACTCCTGGACAGTTGTGCCAGGAGGCACTGATGACGTGGTGGAAGAAGTAGATGTGCTTGGTCCCTTTACACAGTATGCAATAATAAACACATTTATGCCATTACCAAATGAAATAAATAGAAAAATTATTACAAAACGAGAGCAATTTAAATAAGATAATAAAATCATTACAACATGGGCAATTTTAATAAAATGCTATATATGTGACCCGCTCCAGCATAATACGGACTAAGTCGCAAGTCATTGTTTTGAGTAATGAGCACGCACACATGTCAATGCTGAAAATGGCCTACCTGGACAAAAATGAGATTTTTACAAAAATAAGTTCCTACGTGCATATTTAATCCGGATATATAGGTTCAGATATCTCTAGATTATTATGGTAAAATGTTTAAATTATAAAATTTTAATTTATTATGTTTGAAGGGCCCCTGACCGCTCATCTCCGACTGGGCACCTTACCCGGAACGCTTTATCTCAAAAGCTGCATATTCCGGAATAAGTCGGTTTCCGATCTTCAAATTGCTGTAGATCGGTCAATTCTTTAGATATAGCCAAATATTATATATCATTTTAAAGGTAATTAAATGATCTATTCAGATATGCACATAACTCAATTTGTAGAATTTCCTACTTAATCCTGGTTTTGCTGGAGCAGGTCGCATATAGTTACATCAACAATTTGGGTAGAGTGGTACGAGGGACACACATTTGTGGTTCATTTCAGTGTGCATAGCAACAGCGGCGCAACAGCTGTGCCAGTGGCAGCAAACTAGCGGTTCAATTCGCACACTACACTAGTTTGAAGATATTCAGTCAAAACAATATCGGTGAGAATAGGTTTACGTAAATTTGTAACTACGTTGGCTTAGCCCTACGACGTCTAACAGTCGGAGAGCCTGGTCGGTTTAGTAGTACTACTAGTACCACAGGCACTTGAAGCGTTTCAATGAAATATAATGCTAACTAAATACGAAATCTATTTACTACCAAATTATTAATGTTTCTATACAAGTAATTTTCACCTATTATTGCCGACAGTTTCCTGTAAATTCTGTCCAAATCCTACGTCCAACCATATACGCTGCCGGCGCCATTGCTTTCGCGGCGCGACTGTTGCACGCTTACACTAATATATATAGCAGGTAGGAAAGCGCGATCGCAAAATTCGCTCGACGCTCGCTTGATTTCACACTTTCACAGCACGAAAACACATCCAACAGCCTCCATCTTTGTTTGTATGTCAAGAACAGTGTTCACTTGTTATAAAAACATAATGTCTCTGTTCGTAACCGAGCTGTGTCACGCGAAATCACACAAAGACTGACGAAATTCTCGTGTTCGCGAACCTTCCACAGTAATGTAAATGGCTGTCAAAATCAGGAAACACCTACCGGCACTCTTCGCGACTCCATTCTTGCGCCGCAATGCTGCAACGTTTTTGCAACGTTCCAATGGCGAGGCTCGTACGAGAGTTGGAAAGCAGTGCGCCGCCTGCGCACCGCCTGTAGTCCATAGACTGACACTCGCTCCCACCTCTCGGCTTAGCTTAGTCACTCGATGGGTAATCGAGGTGGGAGTGAGTCCCAGTCTATATAGCCCTGTATTCTGACAGCCATTTACATTACTGTGGAAGGTTCGTGAACGCGAGAATTTCGTCAGTCTTTGTGTGATTTCGCGTGATACAGCTCGGTTACGAACAGAGACATTATGTTTTTATAACAAGTGTCAAGTAAACACTGTTCTTGACATACAAACAAAGATGGAAGCTGTTGGATGTGTTTTCGTGCTGTGAAAGTATGAAATCAAGCAAGCGTCGAGCGAATTTTGCGATCGCACTTTCATACCTGCTATATATATAAGTGTAAGCGTGCAACAGTTGCGCCGCAAAAGCAATGGCGCCGGCAGCGTATATGGTTGGACGTAGGATTTAGACGGAATTTACAGGAAACTGTCGGCAATAATAGGTGAAAGAGAGTATAGAAATATTAAGAATTTGTAGTAAATAGATTTCGTATTTAGTTAGCATTATATTTTATTGAAACGCTTCAAGTGCCTGTGACTAGTAGCCTACTACTACTACTACTACTACTACTACTACTACTAGTACTAGTAGTACTAGCTCTAGTACTACAGCCCGCGTACATTAACTGCCGCAGGCAATATATATAGCATATATAGGCAATATAGGGCAGGTATAGCCCTGCGGCAGTCAATGTAGGTTTTATTGGGACCCATGTTCTCTATCCTTGAACCACTATGAGTACTACTACTAGAGCTATAGTAGTACGTACAACTAGAAGTTACAACGCTAAACTAGAATAGAGATTTGAACGTCAACAGACTTATCTTCACTTCATCCTTATACCCTTACAAGTCACCTGTGCAGCTGCCATAACTTCGAGTGTTATTACTAAATAAAGTGGCCTGAGTCAGTGCGTTCTAGATAACAAACTGTGAAATATGAAACTGTGAAACTGTGAAACTATGAAACTGTGAAATATGTGAAATTGTGAATGGCTTAGTTAGCCGGATGCCCTGAAGAGGGCGCGAGAAGCATAACAATATTTCTCAAATGTATATTTTTACATCTCCATCAAAAATTCGTGTTCTGATATTTTGTATCGTGTGTAATACTATTATCAAACACTCATAATATTAAATAATAAAAGTTTCTTAACAAATTTTTTTCTCTGTTATCCAGCTGATTAAAATAATTTTACCCTCAACGCAATCGTCAACGTCTGAAGTACCGGGTGTCCGGGTGTAGATCATTCTGTTAGATAGCGCGGAAGCTCACCGTGCTCATAGATACTAACCCCTTGGGTTAGTATCTATGCCGTGCTCACGAGAGCGGCCTGGGGTGGGGGCTTACGCACTGGCTACTACCGGGTTCACCGCATTACGTAATAGGCATAACTAGTACATCAAGCGGAGCGTCTGCACCACCATTGCAATGATTCTACAGATGATAAAAAAACACAACGGATTGCTTTGACATTTGTACAGACAATATATTTATTCATTGTTAATATCGACAACACTTTCTAAATCATTGGGCTGTCGCGATATCTGGCGCTGTGCCAAACACGGGGTTTTCTCATATGCAGTAATCACCTGCGTGGCCTCGCCTCCAACATGCTGACTGAAGCCACTGTACAACAACCACGCCGATCCATGAAAACGCAGCGATGGATTACGGAGTCATTTGTAACCCAACGCCCACCCTGTAGCGAGATGCCCTGCTGCGCGTGTAGTGAAGTGTTTCGCCCGTCAAAACCGCAAGAGTACCGTCAGAGAATTTAGATTTCGTCTCACCTGTCGTTTCACGCTAGCGTTGACACGACCGCCGGCACAGTTTCGGCTACGCGCGACAGTACACAAACCGCGAACAGCTGAGCCTCGTAGAAATACGGCCACACGGTGGAATGCAACACGGGAGTCGAGTCGGCAGGGCCCACGAAATTACGTTATTCATTAGCCACTGACGTCATCAGCTGACGTCATCACCCTGCACCACCAAAAAGCCGTGTTATATAAGGAAATAATGGCAGTTAAAGACCGCATCCGAGCAGAGACATCGCCTCCGCCTCCATCTCATCGTTACGCAGGCGTGTGTAGCCGACACGCGCGCCCAGTGGGGGGGATACATACTCGTACATTTGTGAAAACCCTGCAAGTATTACGATCGTAAGGCAACGAAGAAGACGCGTCGACTATTCACAATTTTACAAATACTCTTTCTATATTATAGAAACCGTTTACACCGATTTTGTTTAAATTTTCTCAAATACAATGTACAAACTGACTCGGAAGTTCCGGTGCTCCCACACATGCCCACGCGTAACGTGCCAAAAGTGTTTCTACCTACACGAGAGGCACACATATGGATGTGGACTATACTTTCATTTATGACACAGGCGAGGGAAGCATATGGCGTGTGCGTGTGTGCGTGCGTGCGTGCGTGGGCACACATATGGATGTGGACTATACTTTCATTTATGACACAGGCGAGGGAAGCATATGGCGTGTGCGTGTGTGTCTGTGAGTGTGTCCTTACGTGTTCATGCGCGCGTGTGTGTACATGCGCACGTATTTGTGTGCACGTGTAAACGTATACGTGCGCGCGTGTACTACCTATGTGTTTGTATGTGTATGCGACCGTGCGCATGTCACAAACACCTTTATCACTATCAAATGTACGGGTTAAAATATTATTAAAAACACAGTTGTATATACACGTCACCAAAAATTCTCATAACAAAGCATGATAATAAAAATTATACAAAAATCAACAAACGTTAAGTACTTCTAAAACGCAGCCGAGACATCCGTCTCTACACTTCACGCTAAACCTGCACGTAAACAGCCAACAAACACTAGTGATCAAGCTTACATAATATTTGCACATCGTCCACGCGCGGTGGCTCAAGCAGCTCTTTTCTAGCAACACATCTGCGTGATCAACGCTTCTCTAAAACCTTGCTCCGGTAGTAATTATTCCATTAAATACGTGGCAAGTAATAACTGCTCATTGTTACATAGGCGACACGGCAGGGAACCCTAACGTGTTTGTTTGTATACACTATCCTATATACACGCACCTACCATACCTGGTATAACTACTGTCCCTCGGGTCTACTGCGCACACGTGATTAGCACGTGATTCACACATCCGGCGACGCGTGTACGAATTGCGAGTACAGATCTCGCATTGGGGGATATTTTAATACTTACATATGTCGGGCACGTACGCGTGGTTAAAATAAAAAAACACCTTCGATCTCTCTCTCCGTCGGGATGACGACGTTTTAACACATTCTCAAATCGAAGCCAGAGAGCGATATACAGCCGGTTCTCTAGCAGCAGCTAGACTGCAAGATTACGCACTCCCAAGCTAACATCCGCACTCCACATTAGCAGCTGCTCAGCGATTCGTGTATCGAGACGACGCACAGTGATGCGCTGCGTCTGCCACGTGTGAACAAGTAAGTCATCATGTCCCACAGACTACTCCTCCACAGCACTACTCGAAAGACGTGCGCTCAAGATACTCTACGAGTAACGACACACACACACGCACGCACGCACGTACAGACATAATACGGGCACTTACTGGTTTTCGTTTTTTACCCTGTCTCTCCCGTGCTACTTTTTACGCGAGCGCGCTAAAACATCACAGTGTTAGAACGAGAAACCGCAAGACACTAAGAGGAGATGAACTCGTGAGCAGAGAGAGAGAGAGAATCCGTTGGTGGTCGATGCATGTTGTATCGTCACAGCGCCGCGCCGCGGCAGGCTGTTCCCACTGACTGCAGGGGAACCGGCTTGTAGTGACCGGTGCATCGTCCGACAGTGACCAATCGAAGCAGACAAATGATATGACGTGGGCATGACTGTTGCAGCATGACCCTCGCGTCGCCCGCTCGGGTTGTCGTGTGTTTCCGGAGTGATCGCCAGGAGGAGAGGCAGCTGCTGTAGCATGGGAACGCTCCGCGGCGGCCCCGCACTACCAGTTGGCGAGCCCCGGCTTGTTGAGAGTCATGAAGTAAATCTGGCAGGAGGAGCCAGAACGCGCCGAGCTGAAGAACACCTGCAAGCACAGACACGCACACAGTTAACCTGACGTTCACGCATAAGCACACAGACTTTATTATTACGACCCTTATTATTATTATTACTATTATATTATTATGGCAACACCGCGCTCGTTGCTTCCAACACACAGATGCCCCGTTGGCTGACCACTCGAGGGGAGCACGGCAGACCACGTCTACCAGCGCGTACCTAGACTAAGGTGCCCATCGTTTAACATGCACACATCTTTAGAGTGGACATACTCAATCTATATAGAACCTATACTCGTTCCCTGCGGTCTTCCTCCCTCCCCGCCCCCGGCCTCCCGCCAGCGGGTCCTAGACTAAGGTGCTCATGATCATCACATTTAACATGCACACGTGCGCATCTGTGGAGTGCTTGCTCTCCCCAACCTTCCTCTCTTCTGCTCCCCTCCAGCCTCTATATACTCTATCTATGATCTATCTATCTAGGATCTATGCTTGTTCTCTCCCCCCCCCCCCCGGCCTCCCGCGGAAAGCTGCCGACGTCTTTAGAGTGGATATAGTCAGTCTATGCTCTATCTACATAGGATCTATGCTCTCCCCCTCGCGGAGGAGCCCCGCCCGCTCACCTTGTCGTTGCGCTCGCAGAGGAACTTCAGCTTCTGCGCCTTCTTGTGCATGAAGACGCCGTCGAGGTGGCCCGTCTCGACCGAGCGAATCTCGATGGCCTTGTTGCCCCAGCCCATGATCTGTCCCGTGCCGATGTAGGCGACGGACGTCGGCAGCTCGCCCCACTGCAGCACCACGTTCTTCGTCGTCTTGCCGTACGTGTTGAAGTAGACGCCCTCGTCTGTCGCGCAAGCAAAAAAGAAACAGAGCGAACGAGTGAATCTCTGCCGGTGCCGCGAAGGGTTTAGCGGCAAGTGAATGAAGAAATGGAGCGAGCGAGTGAATCTGTCGGAGAGCGGCGAAAGGTTTGGCGCAGAGGTTCTTAACCTGTGGTCCATGAACCCCTTTTCGGGGGTGTGGATGGGCTTCAGGGGGTCTGTGAATCCCATTATATGCAAAATTGTGTGTTTATGTGCTTATGTGCATTTTTATGGGGAGGGATCCGTAGCTTTCACCAGATTCTCAAAGGGGTCCATGACTCAAAAAAGGTTACGAACCACTGGTTTAGCGGGTGCTGGGGGGATGGAAGTGAATTGCTGAAGGTGTGAAGGTTTAGCCGATGCAGATAAGATACAATTTAATAGCTGAATCCACAATGGTTCAGCAGCTGGAAAAGCTATAGAAATGAATCTCTATGCCACGGTTGTTCTAAGTCGGTAGCATCAACACTTTGACAGAAAAATTAACCCAGCTAGCTAACTATAAAATTAACATGCCCCAACTTCCACCTGTTTAGACAGGTAATTCGACTGGTAGAGTTTTGCGTCAGTCTCACACGCGTATATGACGGTGGCCGTAGAGCATTCATACTTACTGTCATAACAGAGGAGTAGCTGCATTCCATTTGTGTTTGGCAGTGGAACGATACAGTGCGGATTAATTGGCTCTTGCGTCTACAAAAAGCACAGAAAAAATATTCAAGCATGGGAAATTTTTAGGTGCAACCATTTTCGCTCGGACTTTTGGCCATGCTTTCACAGGTTTTGTCAGGTTACTTCCAAGCGACCAAGTGAGCCTATCGACATCTGACTGGCTCTTAATGGTAAATGACCTTGGGGCACTTGTGGAAACAGCTCCAATGATAAATCATGCTGCAAACGATCTAAACATTTTTCACATATAAAATCTGAATGTGAGAAATATGAAAAACTGAATGAATTAAAAGTAAAATCTTCAACTTCAACTACGCAGTGCATGAAATGTTTACGACGCACTGAAAACGGTCGGAATGAAAAATAGTCCGGGGGTGAACGAAGAGGTCAGAGGTCAGGGTTGAAAGGTCGGCACTCACGCTCTGCGGGATGTAGACGTCGTAGACGTTGCCCGTGTCGACGTCGACAGCGTGGAAGCCGTTCTGCGACCCGTAGATGACCTTTAACCTCGTGCCCTCCTCTATCGTCAGGTCGACAAGCACCGGCTTGTTCTGCAGCACGCCGAATGACTGCAAGTAACCATGGCAACAACGATCAGCGCTCGTCAACGGTAAACAAGAGAGCGGTTGCATCGCACCCCCGCAGCGCTCGTTGACGGTAAACAAGAGAGCAGTCGCATCGCACCCGTCACCGACAGCGCAGTCACAAGCTCTAAATATTATCGATACAATGATAATAATGACGATAATAATAATAATAATAAAAGCAAAAATAAATAATTGCTATTACAATATTAATAATTATTAACATAAATAGTTACTATTATTTTATTACTTACTACTTATTTACTTATTATTATTGTTATTATTACTATTTTTATATTTGTCATTACTACGAGCTCAGATTGCTGATGATGTATCAATGGATCAGAAATCTGCAGTTCTACATGAGATGTGACTGTCAAAGCACAGCGTGACATTGCCACTGTGAGCATGTTAGTTCATGACCTTTGTACAGAGACCACGCGAGTTAGTGACCTTGGTACCGAGACCACTGGCCAGTGCGTGACCTTGGTACCGGCACACTCACCTTGAAGGCCATGAACTTGTGATATGGTTTCGGTGCCCATGCGTATATCTCCACGCTGTCACGCAGACCGATCACCAAAAACTTGATCCTCTCGTATTTCACTGTAAACATTAATGCAAAAGCACTGAGGATGTGTGGAGACATGAGGCACGCAGTAGAATTGCACGAGAAAGAGTATTCTCTGATGAGAAGGAGGGCAGGGGTAGAAATTAGTTTGAGAACTTACAGGCCCACCGCGCCTATAGGTAAGGGATTTTACAGGCCCGCCAGGCAAATTACAGGCCCGCATCATTCCCTGGATACCGCAGCATTTAAGACCGAGATTTGAAATTTTTACAATGGTTTACGTTCGTACGCACAAACAGGCATTTATAGGTACGTCTCCATCATCATCATACACACGCACGCGTTCATGACCACACTGATTCACCCACACTGATCATTTACTGTGTGGAATCTGTGGATCCTACATCTTGAATGATGAAGCAAATGTTTCGGACATATAGGGCAGAGAAAAACAACGTTCCGTAGGGTCGGTTGTGGTGTGTTGTTGTACGTGCTGCTTTGGGATTTTGAAAAGCCAACATTGATTACCAATCCAATATTTGGATGACATTCTTCTTTTAATGCCAACATTCTGCCTGATGTGCTAGATGGTGTACAGAATATTGGGAGACAGGAAGCTATGCAAATGATAAAGCACATCACGGAGAGGTGTTTTACGTAAACCACGTTTGGTCATAACGTAGGAAAGCTTTTATTTAGCTCCACCCTGTATAAAATGTATATAGTTTTTCCATAATACGACGTGCTTTGCAGCTACACTGACTTATGTGTGTTAACTTGAGACAATTATTATTTACTGTATAATTCAACATGCTATATTACCTAAATCTTCTTGATATTATTTTAAAAC